GCGCTGACGGGCGAGACTAGCCGTACGTGCGTGGAAGTTCAGAAAGTTGGAGACAGCTTAAAGTTTATCAATTCGAGGGAGGGCAGCATTGCTTTGAAAGTGTTTTCGTGATTGTTACCGGAATTTGGGGATGGCTGGGGGTAGTTTGGTTTCTGCAGATGTGAACTCAAAGCAGCGGCAAAGGTTAAGAGTTCGAAGTAGTCTGAGAAAGCTTGAAAGAAGGGGAGAGGGCTGTCAAACATTTAAGGGATTGAGAAGACTAACATGGCTTGATCTTGTAGTTTCTTTCATTTACTCAGCACTTTAAAGACATAAAGTGGTAATTGGACTCAGTAAAGTCTCTAGGACATTTTGTCAGTGCCAATCTCAGAAGGCTCCACTGCCAGAAATGGCTCTGCTGCCCTTTTCTTTGTCTCTCTACATCGCTTGTGTTTGCACGGTGGGAAACACCTGACCTGTTGTCCTGGGGGAGGAAGCCCTTAGATGAGATTGGGTGCAGCCAAGGAAGTGGTTCCTATGCACTCCTACGTGGTGCATTACAACTCTGCCTTAACCCTGACCTGGAAGAATCCAGTTCTACTGCTGAACTTAGGTCCTTGTAACAGCTTTCTAAAGGTAAGGGCAGTTATCCGCTGGAATAATCTGCCTTAGAACATCTGGAAATCTCCAATCTAGAAGTCTTCAAGAACAGGTTAAACCCAGAGCAGACAGGAATGGTTTATGTCTAACTGGTCATGTATGAAGTTCAGGAAAAGAAGTATAGAAGGGCCTCTAAGGGCCTTTCACCCCAGTTTTCTACAGGTCTGAACATGTAGAAAATTTCAACACGCAGCCCACACAGACCTCCTGTTTGCTAAGATTCGCAGGAAAGGCAAAGGCATTTTGTGGAAAATGGACACACAAGTAGATGGACACTGAAGAAACTGGAAATGCAAACCTGTGCCACGTGCAGCCACCAAAAGGTCACAAAATAGGAATGACTTGCAGTCTGCGCCGATGCAGAGAGACTCAGACCAGCATCGGATAAAAAAATGTGCATGTTCTAATACAGTCTCTCAGGCTGTCCTACCCCCACTGCTCTGCCTGCTGCCTCCGTGAAGGATGAGCGGTTTCTGTCATGGGCATCGGGCGCCTGATGCATAAAACCAGAAAGCAGTCTCTCTCCATGACTGCCTAGCCTGGGCGAGAGATGGCCTGACTCATGCAGCAAGTGCAGGTGGCACACGTTTGCAGAACTGATGGAGAAAAACAAATCAAAGCAATAACATTTGAATTTATTTCAGATGCACGGAAGACCCGGACTCCACTTTGGCCTGCCGTATATCATGAGCACATACATAAATGCAACTGCAGCCAGAACCCACTTTTGCTGGGTGGTTGATTGGTTGGTTTGGTTTTAAACCAGCTCCCTTTCTGCAATCACACATGCTGTGCCTTTGCCCACAGGAGCTCCCTACCTAGCTTGATCTGCACTTGATAGAAGGCCATTTCCCAGCTGTTCCCATCATTGGAGCTCAGCTTGCATAAGACAGTAGAAGTCCATTTGGGAGAATCATGGTGGAAACGTCTGGGTGAATCTTCACCTTCACAAGCGTCTGCAATTCCCTTTCCTCTCCCTTCCTCCTCCATAGATTTGTTCCTCCATGCTCCATATTTCTATCTGGAAGTGGAAAACAGCGTGCCCAAGGCCCCTCCTCGAAATGCCATTCTCGCAGCATTTACTCTTTGAATGGCATCAATGGTTTTGGGGAGATTTCAGGACACTCTGTTTATGCGCAACTCTGCCAAATTTCACAGATGTTAGGAAGTTCAAGAATCGTGCTGGGCTCTGTGCAAAATCCCCCGTATTTATGATTCCTACCATGCCTCATACCCCAAAGCTTCCAGCCCTGGTAAGAAAAAGAGGACAGAGGAGTGGAGAATCTCATAAACCATTACTAGTTTTCAACTGAGAAGATTCATCGGTCCTATTGTGAAGAGTCTGCTTAAGCTGGAGTTTCTAGAAGCACACACACAGCCTTGTTCTGTCTGTGCGTAGAGGCAATAAAAATCTCAATTTGGAAACCAGTTAGCAGTACAAGTCATTAGGGGAGGTACTAAATGTTGCTGCTTTAATAGCTCACTGATCATTTAATAATGTCACTGCTGCAGAGCATGGTGGCACCATTTGCTCGCTTTTGTTTTGCTTTTTGAAATTCAGGGTCATTCCGCTTTCAAGTGAGCGGATTATCTCTCTTGCCCTCTCTTGCCAGACACTGCAAACTGCTTTAAATAATTAGAAAAAGGATGGCTCCTTCAAGTTCACCATCTCATTTTCATAAGGTCCAGTGTCATTGCTTTGGAACAGGAAGAGAAGCCGTGGTAGTGGTAAGGATTTGACAAGGGCAAAACAGTTAGCAGCCCCCACTCATCTTTGATAAGTCCTGTGGGGTCTCTGCCAAGCAGATTGGATCTCTGGTTTTATGTCTCATCTAGAGGACGGCACCTCCATCAATTTGAAACACTGCACTGGGTTATTAGCTTATGGAATTCTTCCAAGTTTAGTCCTAAGCAGGATTTGAAATCGTGACCATTCAATCCAAAGGCACCGCTGAGCAGACCCATGCAAGTCTTTTGTTTCAGACAAACAGCTTTAAGTTATCCTAAAGACAGACAGGAAGAAAAAAAAAATAGCTGAAGGAGAAAAAGAAGAAGGAAAATGAGACACAAAAAGAAAGATTAATCTTTTTAATAGCTCAAATTAAAACCCAGAAGCTCTTTGTTCGACCAAACTGAATTCTACAGCAAATCTCAGTCCACCACAACAACAATCCTGTTATTTATGAAAAGGGGGTTATTTTGTGTGGGAGAGTCCCAGATGACTGTGGTCAGCTAGCATACTGTCAGCTTCATACAATCTCAAGAGAAATATGGATGAGGTTTTCTTGTCTGTTTATAACAGCTTCCATCAATGGATCAAACCCCTTCCTGACTCAAACAAGAGCTCTCATGGAAAATGGCGTTACACAGCTTT